GCTTTAATACTTGCTACCTTCTTAGATTTCATTTCACTCATATTCAAAGTGACTTCAGTATTTTCTCAAAAATCCCTAAGATATTTTCTAATTGCTTGCGTTCTGTCTGGTTTTCGACTTGTATACTTCTATTCTATTGGCTTGCACATGATGCGTCTGATTAGTAGTCATACATGTGAAGATTGTTTACCTTATTTGTTTTGAGTTTGGTATAATGTAGAATGATCTGTGATACAGGTAAGTTACAATTCCTACTTTTTCTACAAAATTCTTCGAGATTTTTGCGAAAACCTTACTATCTGCTAAGTAAGTCTAGTAGTTCCCAGGATTTTGTCTTTACTATATGTAATTTTGTGTGCTCTATCTTTTTCCTTAGTACAACATAAGTTGTTTCTTACTGTAGTTTTTTAGATATCTATGTTTTTGCTTTAGCACAAAATTTGGTAAAATGATCTACGGAAAAGAGTTTTTTTTGTATGCTAATATCTATTTTAATGCAGCAGTTTTCTCTTATTCTGATACTTTCAGAACAGAAATGGAAGCAATACTATATCTACTATTGACTATTCATTCCAATTCAACTATTAATATTTATACTGATAATACAATAACTATTAATAATCTAAAATCTCTACCTAATACTATTACTATTTGAGAGAAAAATTGGGATATAATTTTCATTATTGATCAAATAATAACAAAAAAATATCTTCAATTAATCACTCACAAAGTCAAATCTTATTTAAAAAATAATCTCCATAATCAAGCAGATCTACTAGCTAAATGAGGAATCTCCAAACTAATAATATCAATAGATATTACAAAACTAAATCTTCCAATTTATTTCCAATGGCAACAATATACTATTCTTTTTAAACTTTGGACTTTTATCAAAAATACAATAACTATTAAAGAAATCTACAACTTCTCTTAACTTAAATATCTCCAAAATCTCCCTCAACCTAAATGGTCAATTATTTTCTCTATAATAAACTTTCGAAAAGATAATTCATATAAATACTCACTTTATACTAAAATTACTACAAACAACTTCCCTACTATTCAAAATCTTTCTATTCGCTATCCTCACCTTTACTCAACATCTAATTGTATAAGATACCAAAATCTTGAAAATATACTACATCTCTTTTCTTGCCCTTTTACTTCTCATAATAACAAAGAAATCTTAACAAATACTATTCAAGACATACTCCTAAATTTCAAACTTAATTCAATACTCTTACAACAAATTCTAAATATTCTTTTAGCATCTTCATTATATTCATCAAATAATATTTCTTTACTTCTTTTTCATATTATTATTGGCTACTATCCACTAACCACTTTTGATAATCTTAAAGCTTCTTTACATAATCTAATAGAAATATTTCTTACAAAGCTCTCAAATCTCATACTTGATTGGTTTTATCAAGATATTTGAATTCAAAAAAATATCTATTAACATCAATGGGAAACAGCTCAAAATATAATACTAAAAGCTAAAAAGAAAAAAGTTTTTTTCCCAACTTTATCTTCAACAAATCTATCTCAAATAACTCAACTATAATCTCTATCTAATATCTCTAATTTAACTAAAAATTGGTTCTTATATAGATATTCTTTCACTACAAGTATTTAATAATGCTAAGACTAATACCTTAAGGTTTTTCCTAACTTATCCTTAATCTAAATTTAATTTGAAACAATTAGTTTAGCTTTTTTAGGAAATAGAAGGTGTAATGTCATATTGGGTATCTAAAATGTAGCACAAATATTTTAAAAATCTTAACTATTGTACATAGACTTAATTCTATAATTTCAATTAATAAAGTTTCTACTTTGGCATTATAAAAAAAAAAAAAAAAAAAAAAAAAAAAATACAAATATTAGTTACTTTTATAATTTTTTTTATAGTTTAAAATATTATGTTTTATTATAAAATTTTAAAATTAATTTGTTAAAAAAAAACCTTGTATATATCTTAAAAAACTTAACTTAATAAAAACTTAAATAATACAAAAATACTCTATTTTGATTAGCTAATTATGTAACTATAAGTTAAACTTTATACGTAGTAAAAAATAATACTGTACTTAATCTTTAAAACTATTATATTTTAATAAGTTTTTAATAATTTTATTACTGTTAGAATTACAAAAACATGCTTTACAACCTTACTTATTAGCATAACAATAGGTTATTTAATATAATTTTTTGTAATATTATTAAAAAATAAAAAAAAATCCACATAAGGCCATACAAATTTAATTACTTGGTTTTCATAACATGAAATTTTAAATCAGATCCGGCCGGCCGGCTTTTTTTTTTAAATTTTATATGTAAAAATTTTATAAAATACTATAAAATTTTTTTACAAAAACCCACCCGGTTATTAAACCATATAAAAATATTTTTTTTGAAAGTTTTCAAACTTTGACCCGGCCGGGTTATGAAAACCAATTTATTAATTTTATATGGCCTAATTATAAATATTTAATTTTAATAGTAAATAAAAAAATGTCGATATATAAACAAAAATACAAACAAGATTATGTTCTATCGTTATTTAGCAATGTTTGAGTTGCTGGCTTAGCCAACTAATTAAAACCTTGTGGCTTGTAACACTATGCAAGCTCTGTAATTATACGAACTTGACATTGGTATTAGTATTTGCTCATTAACAATGCAAGGTCCAAAGTTTTGGGTTTTCATTTTATATAATTGACTCGAAATTATATTTATTACATTAGTGCTAATTAAAAAGAAACTTGCCATTGTTAGAGTTTGGAACCGGATTTGTTTTTTTAAATCCGAATTTATTTAATTAGTGATCAATAGAAATCCAGATTTATTCAATAAAAATAGTAAAAATAAGTGCTAGCATCATTGTATGTATGTGCGTACATGCATTCTGTGGCAAAAGTGTTCGCCCACCTAAAGACAATGAATTATCATACAATTTATCATCATTACGGAAATTTTACATGTGGTCAAATGCTTTTGTTCTATATTCGAATCCGAAAGAAATTGGATTATGTCTAATACTATTATACTAAATTATATTAATTTACAGTGAAGTTTGACTGCAGCAAAAATGAATGGCGAACCTTTATCGTCGTTTTTCGCCGTGCCAAGTTTTATCGCTACCAAATTTTATTGTCGTTGAAGTTTTGCCGCTTCATCATTAAAACTTGGCGAACCTTCGAGTTTGGCGAAACCTGATCACGTAAAACTTTTATCGTTTATAGTAGTTTGATCTTTCATACGTACTGGTTTTTGCCTGTCATTATAGAATTTAACTAGCCAATCAAATTTAATAAAGGATCCAATCCATTCTGCCGTTAAGTAAAATTTATATTCGGAAAATCTATACCACTTGTAGTCACTATAAATGTGATCTGTGATATCTTTGTAAACGAAATACGTAAGCAAAAATAGCGACTTACAGTTGAGCCTCACAGACCGTTTTTACTACAATAGTTCCCAGCCTAATCCTTTCTATCGTTTTTCAAAAGTAACGCTTGGGATTTTTATTATAAAAGTTCACTTTTTACGATGGAAGATACTTTAACTGAACGTTCAATCAATGTAAAATTTCGTTCTTCTACTGGCGCCGCTTTCGATATGTGCTTTGATCCTGGACAGCTGACCGTTCAACAACTAAAAGAGAGGCTTGTGACGCAAATCTCTATACCTGCAGATAATATGCGTCTAGTTTATTCCGGAAGGGTGTTGAAGGATGAGGATATGGTGGACCTTTACGGTGAGTAGGAGGTAAACGCCTCGACGTCTCAAGGTGTCAAAGATCGAGAACTGTGGTCAACGACTGGTTCTGCATGTGAACGACTATCGTTCATTGTGATCTGGGTGTTATCAATGTGATTATTGATCTAGAAATTTGGCTAGAATGTCAATTTTTTTTTCCTTTTTTTTTTTTTTTTGCAAACAAGTAGCTTCGCATTTATCTCATTTGCTTTGTGCATATTCTTCACTCTTTAGGCGTGAAAGAAGGTCATACAATACATGTTGTTCGAGGGGCGGCCAACCGTGCTGCTGAACAAGCAGCGAATGCGACATCGACTACATCACCCCAAAGAAACGCTAACATGGCGGCAACAAATTCTTTCGGAATGAATCATTTTGGAAACAATCTCGAACAAGATATGAGAAACATGATGAATTCACCTGTGATTAGGGTATTCATAATTTTTGTACTGTATTTATTTGTTCTATTGATTAGGGTTGAATCTGGTAAACGATTCTTTTGAATATTTTATTTTAATAGCAATTGCTCTCTAATCCAGAAATTGTGAGGTCCATGGTGATGCAAAATCCAACAATGAGACAGATGATTGAGCGAAATCCCGAAATTGGTCACATAATTGTAAGTTTAGTATACTATCCGCTTTATCACCTCGTTTGATAACTTTCTCATAAGCTTAAATTGGCACATTTATAGAATGATCCATCCTTTATCCGTCAGGTTTTTACAATAAAAATTTCTCTTGTTTACTCGTGTATGTTTCTAGTCTTATAAAATTATTGTTATAGACAATGGATATGGCACGTAATCCCGAATTAATGAGAGAAATGATGCGCAATAATGGTAAATAATAAAGTTTTATTCATTTAGCTTTGCTCACTATTATGAAAAATTGAAAAGTTAATAGTTTTATCCATTAGACCGAGCATTGGCGAATCTTGAAACTATACCAGGTGGCTTTAACCATTTACGGCGAATGTACCATACATTACAGGAACCACTTGAGTCTGCAGGCCGACATGTATGTTATGATTATTTTGTATTTTCACATAAGATGATTTTTTTCATGAAACAAATCTAAATCAAATCTTATGTCTGATAAAGAATGATCAATCATCACAAGCAGCAAATCAACGCCTTGCTCAACTGTTAAATGTTGAAAGGCCTCCAGGTAATATATATATGTATATGTGTGTATGTATATTCCAATTTTAAGTAAACAACCTTATTCAACAGAGGGGCGAATAAATAATGTACCATTGCCGAACCCATGGGCTCCGCGTAACAATACAATAACGAATGCTAATAATCCTTTTGGATGTAATTATCAAATTTATATGCTTGCTTTATTTTATTTTGTCTTTAATAATAATTAATTAATTAATTAATACATATATTTATGTTTAGCATCTTCTGGGATATCACCTCTTAGCATCATGGGTTTTCCGCCTTCTCAACTGGTAAAACTTCCTTTCTTGCTAGGAATTATTAATAAATCATTAATGATGTCTGCAATTTACCTGCTATACATTTATATAGTCTTTTCCACCATCATCAGCAGTTTCCCGAAACACACCGACTACACAAGCATCAACACAATCATCAACTCCAACTACAGGAACTT